AATCAGAATACTTTTTCGGATAGGATTACTAAAGGATCAAATAGTAGCGGATAATAGGTTAACCATTGTTATGAATCCTCTGCCCCTTTACCATTTGTAGCGCAACTGATGGTAATCGGTTATTGAAGTCCATTCACAATATATCGTGAATGGCACACAATTGAAGTCGTCGTGGCCTAAAGGATAAGACGTCCGGTGCATTCGTAACTAGCGATGCACCGGTGTTCGAATCCCGCAGGTGGGTACTAATTTTTCTAATGAAATACGTACTCAACAAATGTTCACGATTGACTTCCACGGTGAAGGAATAACGTCGTGTAATAAAAAACAAACCCGCGAAAATTATAATTTGCGTAATTACTGGTGGTAGGGTGTCTTGTGAGTCCGCACGGGTAGGTATCACCACCCTGCCTATTTCTGTCGTGAAGCTGGCATGCGTTTCGGTTTGAAGGGTGGGGCAGCCGTTGTAACTATACTGAGATCTTAGAACTCATATCTCAAGGTGGGTGGTGGCACTTACGTTGTAGTTTTTTAGGGCTTCGGTAACCACTTAACACCAAGTGGGCCGTAAGCTCATTTACCCATCTGGAGCCCATAGATATCTACAACGCAAATGCGCCACCCACCTTGAGATATAAGTTCTAAGGTCTCAGTATAGTTACAACGGCTGCCTCACCCTTCACACCGAAACGCATCACTGCTTCACGGCCGAAATAGGCAGGGAGGTGGTACCTACCCGCACGGACTCACAAGAGGTCCTACCACCAGTAATAAAGATACATATATACATATTACAAAACCCCCAATCAGATTGAATAGCGATTGCTTTACAGCACCAGCTCGGGCTTACGATGGCTTCCCGCCGGAAACTATCAGTGGGGTGGTACTAACCCTGGCTTACAATAACACCAGTGAAATTCTCGTCAGGCTAACGACATCGCCCTCTCCATGACAATCAAACAAGATCCATTCTTATGACAGCCCTATTTGGAACATTAGTCACCATAGTGAAGTGTACGGAAAGCCTTATTTTCTTCGTTCATTGTTCACACACTTGAACTATTCCGCTAAACTTGAACTGAATTTAACTAACTTTCTTATTAAAACTATCGCTCTAGATTTCTTTTTACAATGTTTTGAAGAACTCATTAGCATTTAAATTGTTTTCGCAGACATTAAAGAGAATGTTCTGGATGTTTGGAGGACTTTTTAACACGTGCTAATAAGTGAAAATGTGTGATAATAATTACATTCATAGCTTAGTATCTCGTTTAATAAGGCTTAACTTTATAATATATAGTGTTACGCACTGGGGTTCGAGATAAATAAAACTTCGACTGAAGTACAGATTAAAACTCTATTTAACACTTAAAACACTTACAGAACATTTTACAACTCGTAATTCGCTTCTTCCGCTTCGCTTCAGGTGATCCGTTCCCTCTTTCGCTTCGAGTAGATCATATTACTAACTGCCTCCGTGTCATCCTTGCAACGCTATTATAATCGATACGATATCTCTAGAATTATCGATAAAATTCTGAGTAAGGCCAAACGCTTCGATATTTGTTTCCGCTATTTGATGATAGATGGCGTCGGACGTCCCGAACGTTCTCGGTTTTAACAGTTGTTATGATATTCGTTTCTGATATTTGCCGATAGATGGCGTTACTCTTACCGGCGTAACAATAATAATATTCGAAGTTTTATAACGAATGTCAATGTTCTTTGTTAATGTTTAAATCGGAGAGGCGCAGTCGGACTAGCTGTCGCACTTTTCTATAGATTTATTCTCGAAAATTAGAAGCGTAAGATTGTATAGCCGTGACGTCAACATATTTATCTGATTTGGGGCCATAAGGGTTAACTTTTCAGATTGCGTTACGTTTGCTTGCACTCAGCTTGAGGGCTGGCAATATGATCGACCTGACCTTATATAATGGCTTAAATAATTCATATAACAAGATTTTATGATATTGTGTATCGTGTATTATGTGTCTAAATATGTTTTGTTTTAGATTAAAATGTAGTGATAAAAATTTCGTCACAAATAACAATGGCTGCTTTCTATGCAGCATTTTTCCTGATATCTACTTGAGGCGTCTTGAAAAAAAATATCTAAAACGACAGGGATAACATAGCTTAAGCTTAATCAGAAATATTTTTGTTATTAGAAAGTCACAAAAAAAAGATATTAAGGTTTTTACTTTATAATTTGAGGTTATCTTCAATAATAGATGTCTCTGATTTTTGTAGGCACGGACTATAACAAATTGAAAAAATAAGCGATGAACCAAGGATACACCTCTAATAGTACTTGAGTAGGTAGCCTTAGCAATTGCAGAGTTTCCTAGGTACATATACAGATGTAGTTTGTTCTTTCTTCTTTGTAAATGTGTAAAAATGTGTGTCAGAGATAGGTAGGTACTTTTAACCTTTTGAGCGCCAAAGTCACATATTAGCGACAAACGAGGGCTTGCCCTATATGCCAACGTCACAAATACGTGACCAAAAAACAGGGACAGATGTGATAACAGCGTACAACAAAATAAATTAGGCAAAGCTAATTATTTATTGGAGTAGACTATAGAGTCTATAGAGACTATACTGTCAAGATCATTGTCATCTGCAGTGCTGCCATTTCTATTATTTTGTTATTTAATTAAGTACTAATTGTAACAAAGGAAAATTAATATTATTATCATTCTAAATACTTTATGAAAATATTTTTCAAATAATACTGCTTTTTTATGGCAATAGTAAACATGTCATCCTTTACAAATGTATTGAACCGGAAGTACACAAATTCGAATTAAAAGCTTATTAAATTAACATTTGCGAACATAACAAACGAGCAAATAAAATAATTAAGTTTCGTTTATGTCTTAATCTAAGACGCCTTTTAAAACATTCAGGTTAAAAATTTCCAATGTTCTTTGCTAGTAGTTTAGTTTTGAATGATATACCAACGTAAATTGTTTTAATTTTTATCCAGAATGACTATGATCTTTCGTAGTCTCTGAATATTAGCATTATTTTACAAGAAATCGTCGCGCAACTAGTTTTTCCTTCGCAGTAATCTTTAAAGTAATCATGATCTGTCTACATTCACGCGAACCTAACCACCGGCATTGTCATCGTGGGACTGTGTCACCGGGGGCAGTCACGCGCGGACGCCGAGGACTTTGATGCTAAGGTTTTTTGTCCACGCCTGTCATAATTATAAAACCAACACCAGCCTAGTGATTCTGTTGCAGCCCGGCCGAGGGTACGTTCACCGTAGTGCTCACTCAGTTGAGGAACACTCACAAAAACTTACGTTTGGACGAATTTAACAGAATTCCATATTACTAGTTGCTTCTATTTGATTTTAGGACTCCCGTTAGATCCGCCTCTTCCTCGGGGAGCTCGCTACTACGAAGTATTAGAGATTATATCTTCGTCTTCTTTCTACGGTTGTACCACCCGAAATCAACGCAGAATTTGTTCCTTTATCCGTGAACCCATTTGTTACACTATTTCGCTTCTTCGTGACTCTTAGAGATAATTAAAACGAATTTTAGGGCGTTATCTCGTCGTCCACTATCCCAGAAACTGTAAAGTTTTTGAAACGCAGGAAATATTAAATTAAGATATTAATACGCGAGATTAAACTGTAAACATTCACGGGAATCCGCTGGTTACAGGCTGCGCAAGACCGGTTATTGTGGCGAACCTTGAACGGAGCCTGTGTCCAGCAGTGGACATGCGTGGGCTGATACAGTACAGTACAGAGATTGAACTGTAAAGATAGTATTAATTCAACCCTCTAGAATCTCGTATAGTGCGTTTGCACAGATTGTTTCTTTCTGGAACTAGGACGGATATGAACTGACTCTTTAATTGTAACTGAAAGCAATATTCGGATGTCTCTCTTCAAATAGGTTTTTGAAATGACAAGCATCAGTTGTGGATATGGAATGGATGTCTTTGGCATCATTGCCGTATCCATCGTGGCGGAGAATACTATTAATAAGATGAGCCATGAGTTCGCCCGTCACTATTGGCAAAATAGGAATGATTACAAATTTAATAAATTTAGAAAATAGAAAAAAAGTAAAACGTCTCGCTTTTATTACCGACCGATCGCTTAAAACAGCGATCTGATGTCAATTAGGACACGCCCCGCGTTCCACTATGAAATCTAGCATCCACACATTTCCAATAGCGTCTTACACCTCTAGCTCCTCTCTCTCCAATTTTGAAATATCGTTTGCATTAGCGGTTGTAATATTGGTTGCATGTTACATTGTTGCTTTTTTAATTGAATTATTAATGAAGAGTACATTGTTGAGGTTCATGCCACATGCGTTCAAGAACAATGGTACAATAATTCAGGGCTCGTGGATGCGAACGCGTTTTCATAATTAACGCTGCGGTGATTATTTAGCCGATATGTGTGCGCTGAGGGACTACGTTGCATTGTGGAATGCGCTAGTGAGTTAGAATTAAAGTGACAGTAATATGAAATCTTAAGCTAACAGCGAATAGGTAGGAAATAACATAGTGTGCACGCTTCTCACTGCTAAGGTGGATGTATCAGACCACCTGATCGCTTTACAGGTCCAGTTGACGCGGACCTTAACAACGGTCTGTGTTAGACCCCCGTTGGAATAAGTTCCTTGTTATATTTGGTGTTCACTGTTCTGTCTGTACTGCCTCTTGTCTCGTATATCGCTTCGGGAAAGAGATTGCGCGGGCGCTGCTCGATAAGTAATTCGATCAAATCCGCACCACACTAGAGATCCCATTCCACGATGCCCTTCATGCGGCCAATGATCGGAGGCGCTGGCGGGACATTACAAGGAATAACATCCTGTTGAAACATGATAGTCACGACCCTCTGCAGTGAGGAAACAACGCGAGGAGGAGAGGCTTGGTTACGGAAACATAGGGTTCTGTGAGAAAACAGCAACACTTCAGAATGACAAAAAACATAAAATTAATTTTCCCCTTGATCGCAGGTTCAATTTTTGGGTGTTCGGCGCGTGGCGCGAAGTCGCCGTTGACGACAGACTCCCTACGCGAGCTGGTCGTCTCATAACTAGTCACAACGCATTACCTGACGACTTCACCCTGCCACTCCTTGAGAAAGCTTATGCCAAGTAAGTCCGACTACTTTATTGCCAAAAATGGTATGCAATCACTCGTATATAACAAAAACTAAGGCGCATTTATCAGCAAAGAAGGTCTCAGCCGACCTAGTTTTATAAATAAATGAATGACCGGGAGTAACCATCTTTTTTTTTTTGTCCTCGTTGTGGTCTACCAAATTCCCAGCGTATTTCTATTACTGTTCAGAATATTCGTAGTCATATCTCGATAACCTAGGCGATAATGAGGAATTTTTTTTTTCAGGCTATACGGTTCATACGTAGCGCTCAGGGTGGGCAGCGTGTCGCGTGCACTCCAAGATCTCTCAGGAGGTATAGTGCAGAGTTTCTCCCTTGTCCAACAGCCGAAGGGCTTGACAGCACAAGTACTGAACTCGGCTGTTCCACGGTCAACGCTATTAGTTGCTACGGTTGCGCAGGTAAATTATGACAAATAAATGATTTTGATTACCGCACCTCTAATACCAGCTTTTTTTTACCAGCAGACAGATTCCAGTGGCTGTCAATGCTCTGCTCGGAGGGAATGTAAAGTAAAAGCAGTTCTTTCACTGATGTTTGACGCTACTAGCTCTAGATAAAAAAAAAAAAACGTTTGTGGGAAGCCCTTAAGGATGAGCGATAGCTTTGCTGTATGGATCTTTGATGATAGTTAAGAAGATTTGGTGTTTTGAAGACTTAACGTGTGGGTGACTCACATGTACAACTAAAAACGAACCAGAGATGTATCTTGTTAACTTCTACTCACTGGCTTTTTGAACTTATTTATTTATACTTAGTCCCTCCGAGTTCTGATCGTGTGCTAATTTATTACCAAATAGGTTTTACAAGCAACTATTAGACGATCACAATGTGCTTTTCTTCGGATCACAGGAAAAAGAAAGTGGCTGGCGACGTCTCCGCAATGGCTTGATATCAGGTCAAGCGTATTGCGTGACAGGACTGGCCAGGGTTCGAAGTGTCAACACCGCTGATGGAGAAGGAGCACTCGTGAGAGTGAGAGCTGTCAGTGGACTTGGAGAGTGGGCAGGACCCTGGGCTAGGGGCAGTGCTGAATGGAGGGCTCTTGCAGAGGCAGACAGAGACTTGTTGGCGCGACGCGCTGACCGACCTGGGGACTTCTGGTAAGCAAAATCTCATAGACAGGATACAACATGATAGAGCTACTTCTCATCACTAGACATCTTAAGAGCCACTAGCTATGATACATATAACACGATGTATATATGTAAAAAATAAAGAATAATAATATGTTTGCGTTATGCTACCATGGTATAACTTCTAAATCTTACCTTCAGTGCACTATTACTACCTTATATTAATTACCGTATTTTATGATGACAAAATCGCGTTACATCCTTACTTAATCACTGTAGGTTAAAAATAATAACATAATTAAGTTATAGCTGGGTCCGGTGCTGTTGTTTAAGAAACTAAAGTTAAAGTTCAAATTCTATCATGGAGGCAGCATAAAAGACGTTGAGTTCACTGTTCCTCCGATATCAAATCTCCCCATCTTCTACACGTGCCTATTACATGAGAAATAGGCAATATAAAAGTGTCAGCTTTCACCACATTATTTTGCGTATTCAATTCTAGACACTACGGGAACCCCTACTCAACATTTAAACTGTACTGTTTTAAACAAAAAATTCTGTTAGCAAGTGTAAACGACAAATAAATCATCGCAGTGTAATTACAGTAATTGAATACAGTAATTAACGGTGAATAATAACATGTAATTATGTGAGAACTGTCTGGTGAACAGTTAAGTTACGCTCGTGCTCTGGTTGTGGATCTACGACAGAGGAGCTGGCGCGGTAGAGACCACACATGGACATCATACGTACCAATACCAACATGTATACATAATCTTTAAATGAGTATTTTAATTATATTAATACGTGAAGCAAAAACTTTGTATCCCTTTTTACGAAAATTGCGCGGACGGAGCAGTATGAAATTTCCCACACTTATAGAGAATATCGAGAAGAAGTGCAAAATGCTCATATTTTTTAAAAATTATGCATAAAATATACATTAAATCAATAAATAAACCATTACACACAGTACCATGTATTTGACACACACACGCATGCATACCATTTGTTTATTGTTAAACTTTTCTTATTGCTTATAGTCAGTCTGTGGTCAAATTAAGAATAGATTAAATATTTCTATTTTCTTTATTAATATTTGCTTAAAGTGTAGTCTTGGCGAAATGACAATAGAATCATAATAATGTTCAAACTTATAATTTCAATTAATTATAGTCGAATTTCGACTACTGCTGGACCACTAGTTTTAATGATAAGTTCAGAGTAATGATGATTAGGATGCCATCAAAATTTCGACCTCATTGGGGGCAGCTTGGTGTGGTAACGTAGCTTCTGGAAACCACTTAACATCAGATAGGGCCTGTAACTCATCTTGTTCAAAATAAATCTATTATTTTTTGTTCAATGTACAAATGACCCCTAACATTTTGTAATGAACAATATTTTTTACGTGATTTCAATTTACAGACGAATGTAAGATCACAAATTCGTATTAGAGAAATGAAATTGAAAACGTGTCTGTATGTTCGTCCTCGGCGCAGGGGTGTCGCGAGGAAGTTATTTTTTTTTTATAAGCACTAGAAAAACTAACCGACTTCTTAATTGATCATGCGTGTAATATGTAGCTAGTACAATATAGGAAAACATTGAGGGCGAAAGTGTAATTTAGAAAAGGGTCAAAGGGCGGATCGGAGGCATTTTTCCCACCTTTTTTTATTTATTGCTTAGGTGGGTGGCGAGCTCAAAGCCCACCTGGTGTTAAGTGGTTACTGGAACCCATAGACATCCACAACGTAAATGCGCCACCCACCTTGAGATATAAGTTCTAAGGTCTCAAGTTTAGTTACAACGGCTGCCCCACGATTCAAACCAAAACGCATTACTGCTTCACGGCAGAAATAAGTGGGTTGGTGGTACCCATCCACGCGGACTCACAAGAGGTCCTACCACCAGTAAAAAGACACCACCTAGACACTTGTGCCTGCCAGGAAACTTTTCCGGTCGTTGGTCTACAGTTAGCTCACGTCCGCAGACACAACGACATAGGTGCTCATTGAATCGACATATCCACTATCAGATTAATCTAATGAAATATCACAAAAAAATAACTTTGTAACAACACTAAATGTTTCTCAATCCGTTTTTATGCAATTGGTTAATTGTATAACGACTTTAAAGAGTTTACTAACAATTTTTTATCGATTATTTATTCGATAAATAATTTATATTTATATGTGACCGCAGCCCTGATTAAGTGTAGCAGTGCTCTCTCGAGTCATTATGTTCTGCGTTTGAGTGAAGAGCATTAGAGCCACAGTGCAGATGACTTAACGATGTTTCACTTTAGTCAATAGTTGTATTTTATTAATGACTAGCTGACCCGGCAGACTTCGTAGTGCCTCAATCGATAAATAAAAGATCTAAACTTTTTTATAAAATAAACTTAAAAGAAACAAAAGAAATACGTCCGACGGGGGACACATCAAAGGGAAAACAAAATTGTTATTTTTATAAAATTCCGAGCATTTTCATATTTATCTACCTTTTAAACTTCCTTTGGACTTCCACAAATAATTCAAGAAAAAAATTAGCCAAATCGGTCCAGCCGTTCTCGAGTTTTAGTGAGACTAACGAACAGCAATTAATTTTTGTATATATATAGATTTGTGTAGCTGATCGATGCAACATTAATTCATTCTTCAGCCCTTTGCATCAAAATATAATCTTAGTTGGCAGCGGCTTGATTGTGTGACAACTATCACGTACCATAAGGGCATTCTTAGCGAAAAAGATCCGGCCTTGTGATTCTCAAGTATTGTTTTGGCTTGTGTTCTCATCTGCTTCGAAAACTGAATCTAAAGATCCCGTACAGCTTGTCTGTTTGTAAGTTTAGTATACTGCGTTGTTTCGGAGGTAGGTGCAGCGTGGGCGCGGCGTTCCCACGCTCTCATTACTCACCTACGCTCACCATACATCTAGACAAATTGATGTCGTTACAGGCCTGTATTACAAAAAATTAAGAATCGTCGAAAACATTTGTACGTACTTTTTAAAGCTGCAATACAATATATTGGCACCGAAAACTTCTAGTCACAAATAATCTGGAGATGCTAATAAGATTTAACCGAAATATTGTTAAAGATAATCTTTTAACAGCTTTCTTCTTTTGAGTATTTATTGTTTTTAATGGACTTAATACTGCTAGTTGTTTTTGCATAATAAAGGCAGATGGGTTCCCCTCTCACCTGGTCCTAACCCAGTTAGATTAGCAGTTATCCAGTCACCCATCCCGAAACATGAGGTGAAATTGGTATTGTCCCAGTCTTTAAGCTACAGTATCCGGTGTGGTGGCCTATAGTAGCAATGCTCCATCCCTCTCAGGAGAGCTGTACAAGTGACTTAGAGACGACTTCGAAGAATGGACAGCAGCGTTATCCGAGCATTATAACAGCGTACTGCACCAAACAGCATTTGCTGGTGACATAATAAAAATCCGTCTAACATGGAGGTCCCACTCGGCTCAAATAAGCAAAATAAAAAACACAAGCATTCACAAACTATAAGCCACAATCTCCCTTCTACTTTATTATGGGCACGTTTCGTCCATTACCACGACTCTCGGTGAGATAATGTATCATATAAATATGAGCGAGACGCACAGAATGAGATGCCATGTCACTGGAGCCTGTCAATAAATATGTATGGCGTTCCGCAGGTACTAGTATGGTTTGTTCTGGTTTTGCTTATTTATTTTTAAGTTAAGACCGATGGAAATAGGGCTTTTCTTTTTTTCTCTCTACATATGAGCTGGTAGTCTAAGAGGCTATTCTAGCTACGCACAGACGGATAGGTGAACTCACGGGCTCAACTCGAGATAATTTGCTAACACTAGCCTTAGCAAGAGCAGTGCTTTCCAGAATCTATCACCGGATCGGAATCGTAACCCACCGTGAAGATCCTACAAGAAACTCAGTGGGTTGTATCTATGGGTTAGTTCGTTCGCCAAATTTTTGACCGGAAGACGGTGCTTGAGGGTCCTAAAAGCACCGAGAGTGGATCAGAGGGATTCGGCGTAAAGCGATTCCGTTTTATACCACTCAGGCGCAGATTTTGTCTGCAGAAGTTGGCGATGGTACTCACGTTGTGACGTTAACGGTAAACACTTAAAACCAGGTGGACTGTAAACTCAACGTTAGTAAAAACTCAGACTAACAGAATGCAGAAGACAAAACCTAATTAAGTATTAGCTGTGGCAGCGGCTGTGACCACTCACCATCCCATGGGTCCAACATCCTCGAAACACTTACACATAACTAGGTACATACATATAAAACATTCGATTTTATCCTCGCTTGTAAGTGATGTCATTAAGTGACTATTAAGTGTGTGTCTGATATACCGACACACGACCGTAGTGACTGACGTATCTTTAGATAACTGGTAAGCGGTCCGAGATTTACGATGTGGCCTTCACTCTGGTGCAGGAATTTAGATGCACTCGTGATCTAGCTCTGATGCAGCAATGTGCATTGACTCCGATCAATATCACTTAACTATTATTTTGTGTGTGTTGTAAGTACATCATAAACAGAACTAAATTCTCAATTTAGTCCACAGGGACCAACGTATGATTACAGTACAACCTGACAGTTTTTGATTTTTTTTTATATAAAGCAATTATTGACCTCTCCTGTCCCGTCTCAAAGCAACAACCCAGAGATGCGAGTGTTGTGCACCTGCCCACGATCGAACCTTCGAACATTTAGACACATTTCATTTGTGCCAAGTCACTAAATAAAATATTCATAGTTTCCACGTCATAAGTCAAAGCCGAGGCACGTTTGTGCTGATAAATACGAGAGGCTCGCCCTCGGACTGTAACTGGACACTCGTAAATACTTCTAAAGGACACGTGCAATTATCTTATCGTTTCATTCCAAATGTACCACGCCAAACTGGACCGCAGCGCCAGAGCGCGAGCGACGGTTTTTGAAAGAATAATAACGACGCGGACGACAGACGCCTCGCTCGGAATTAATTTCACTCAGAATTTATGCAGTCCATTATAGCGGCCCATGGTCTGCAGCATGCGAGAACTGCGTCGTAACGATTAGTCAGTTGTCGGTAAAGCCGCCTTTTGGTGGCGGGATCTTAAATTCCCATATTGTTGTGGTGAATCTGTGATTTGGTATCCATCCAAAATCACCATCCACCATCGCCTAATGAAACTATTAGACTGTAGACTGTAGAGTAACAAACGGATTCCAGGATGTCGTTCCCAGACTTCGCCCGCGCCTTCACAACGCTGGTACTGGTACACGTGGGGCCGGACGATTGGCTGATAGAGCCTGCGTTACATGGTAAGCGGCCATGGCGGGCTGTGCTTGCTAGACGTAGATGGAGGCGAGGATACAACGCTGGAGGACCGCCCTCTTGCATCGGTAAGTAGTACTTTATAACTGTCGCGTTCCGAGTTTCTTGTTCATTCCTTTTAAGAGAGAACTTCTTTTTCAAATCAATTGTAATTCTTAATATTTGAAGGCACACGAAAATGCCTAATGAAATAAATAAAATTTTAATATTAAAAAAATTATAAATTTCCTCTCCACAGAAACTACAAGCACAAATCCACAATTCCACGTACAAATACCTCGCACGGAAACCGGAGGCGCTAGGAAATGTCATGTAGTAGTCTCCGTGACCCAGCAGTATGGGACCAACAAAGCGGGGAAATTACGGGCAATAGGGTTCGCTGTGTACGAGATCCCTGCAGGAGGGGGACCGCGGAGGGGAGCTCTGAGGGCTCTGGCTGGCTTGAGGGCTTTGGACGTCACACACGAGAGCAGAGCGCGCGAAGTAGCTACGTTCTTCACGCTACCTGCCGGGCAGTATTTAGTTGTGCCACATACGAGGCGTCCGCACACAGAAGCTGCTTTCCTACTGCGCATATTTACTGACGAACAGACCGATGTGTGGTAAGTTGTGTCTATAAATAATTGAAACTTGCTTGATTGCCTTGTTCTGTTTGTTTTACCTTTTCAAGGTTTCAATGTTGGGTTTTCATATTTTCAGGGAAGTCAACGACGATAATCTGATCATTCCAAACATCGGAGCCGAGTTTCTGGACGACGACCAAAGTACATCGGTATTATAGTTTGATTATTGTTTTAGTAGTACAGCCATGAGTGGTCGATATATCGCGTGCCGTACCTCAAGACGCGGGAAGAGACAATTACTTCTTTGGTTAATATTTACGTTATTCAGGTTCAAAAGGTGCAAAAAACCACTGTACAAGTAAATTGGGACTTTGCCCTCATGTCTTAAGCTGAGTAGGGGCATTAGGGTGCCTGTCCACCGGAGCGGAGCGAGGCAGCAGAGAGGAGAAACGTAGAAATATTAACCAATAAGATTGCACAATTTTTTTATTGCTTAAATGGGTGGAGGAGCTCACAGCCCACCTGTTGTTAAGTGGTTACTGGAGCCCATAGACATCTACAACGTAAATGCGCCACCCACCTTGAGATATAAGTGCTAAGGTCTCAGTATAGTTACAACGGCCCCCCACCCTTCAAGCCGAAACGCATTACTGCTTCACGGCAGAAACAGGCGGGGTGGTGGTACCTACCCGTGCGGACTCACAAGAGGTCCTACCACCAGTGAAAATGATAAGATTGCAAAATGATTTTGTGCAATCTTATTGGTTAATATTTCTCCGTTTCTCCGCTCCGGTGGACAGGTAGCCTTACGTTGTGCTGTCTGGACTGTGCTAACCGCTTTACACCATGTAGCTCCCGAGTAGTTTTTAGGTACCTAGTGACATCTTTGTTTTGTGCTATACCCAACGCTAATACATAAAAATGAATCGTTTATTATTTCAGCCGGAGCTGCAGATGGCGATCACTAATCTGTTCGGAAAAAAGGACATCGAAGAAGTAAGTTTTGGTCATTACGTACTTCTTTATTTTCCGTAACAATTGCTAGCTAGGATTTTAGAAGGAGTGACCTCTTTCTAATTTCAATTACTTATTTCCCGAAACCGATGACACTCCAAGTTGAACAAACTTCCAGACTTCAAGGTTCAACTAGCTCGTTCTGTGTCAAATGGACTTAAAACTCTAGAAATATTTTTTATAGAAAAATAGACGGTAGTTATTACAATATTCAAATTTCTAGGAATAAAACCTTAATCGTTCGTGAGTCTCTAATAATCGAAACGACAGAAATACAATAATGCTAGGTACCTACCTGTTACCCGCGGCTTTGCCCGCGTATTGACAGAATTGTGTCAATGTAGTTTCCTTGGGAATAACATGGGTTTTGGGGTAAAAGATGTAGCACTCTCCTGACTTTTTTTTATTACTTAGATGGGTGGACGAGCTCACAGCCCACCTGGTGTTATGTGGTTACTGGAGCCCATAGACATCTATAACGTAAATACGCCATCCACTTTGAGATATGAGTTCTAACGTGGGGTGGGGCAGCCCCACCCTTCAAACCCACACATTTCTGCTTCATGGCAGAAATAGGCAGGGTGGTGGTACCTAACTGTGTGGACTCACAAGAGGTCCTACCAGTAAATTGTACATGTAAAGTTGAAGATCCTGTAGCCCCGCGGTGTGGCCCCGCAGGTGGACGCGCGGGCGCTGCGGGGGGCGGTGCGGCGCGCGAGCGGGGGTTGGCGTGCGGCGCGGGCGGCGTGCGGCGCGCTGGTGGCGGCGCGGGATGCGGGGGCGCGGGGCGGGGCTCGCGCGCGGGACGGGCCGCCGCTAGTCGCGCGCCTGCTGGCCTGGCGGGCCGCCTACACAGGTAGCCACTCACATTGTTCGATCCGACCTCTTATCTCAAATATATTAAAGTTCAAGTATATTAATAAGGTTCCCCTTGCACTCTCACACCCGACGTCCGATCTCCGTCCGGGCTCAGAACCCGGTTAGGGTATGGGGGTTCCCGCGATCAAAACTACAACCAGACTTGCGGCGTTACTCCAAGGACGTACGACCGACGGGTTGTCGAGGATGTCAATAAGATTCACCCTATCTCTTGGAAAGAATTGTCAACCAGGTTCTTGGTTAGTTGACAGTAACGCATTCCCATACCTAAATGTGCCAAGTCTCCGGCCAGGGTTAGCGCCGAGCTGCAGCGCTGCCTCCTCGTACCGGCTGCGGGCGCTGCTGTGGGCGGCGGGGGTGGCGGCCTCCAACAAGGTGCTGGAGTGTCTGGTGATGCGCTTCGCCAAAAAGAACACAATATCTTTGGATGCCTACCTTATAGCCTTGGCCAAACTACATTTAGCACATGGTGAGTCCTCTGCCCCTACAACCGGACTAAGAGAACATTATGATTGGGGCGCTTCCCACAGTCAAATGCTTAAAATAATATTGTTAGGCGTTGGGGTTCGGGATAAATATTTTTTTTTACCGAATTATAAGCTAACACTGTATTAGCACTTAGAACACTTAAAACACTACATAAACACTTTAAAATTCTCAGTTCGCTTCTTCCGCTTCGCTTCAGGTGATCCGTTCGCTGTCTCGCTTCTAGTAGTTCTGATTACTGACTGACTGCGTGCTGCTGCGTGTCATCTCTGCAACGCTTTTACAGCCGATATCATATCCCTAGAATTATCGAGAATATTCCATACATTTAGAATATTGTGTTTCCGCTATCTGACAATAGATGGCGTTGTTCTTCTCGAGCGTTCTAGATGCTACTAGGACCTTCGATATTCGTCCGAGTATTCTGCGATAGATGGCATCACTCTTACCGGCGTAACAATATTAATGGAATTTACCATTATGCAAGAGGCACTAGGAGATAGATATGCACTTGAATGTACTGTTTGGGCTTCGAGCAGCCCCGAGCCGTCTCTTCCCGTGAGACTGAGCGATGCACCGGAGAATGGACAGCAGCGTTCTCTAAGCGTCACACCGCACAACGACCAACAAGCTTCATGTATTGGAAGTGTGGCGGGCGGCTCGTGAGCTCGCACGGGTGGCTACCACTATCTTGCCTATTTTTGTCGCGAAGCAATCGTACGTGGCACGTTGTAAACTGGGAAAACCATTATACAACACAATTCAGTTTTCAACCACATTTCTCAAGGTGGACGGTGGCAGTCAAGTTATGTGGTTGTTCTATGAACACATAGCATTAGTCCGACAGCGAGCTCTTGCGCCCAATTACGCAATTAAAATTATGATATCGTGTCCGCACTTATTTTTTAAACTGACAAACCACCTGAACTTTATCTTAATACTGATGCAAATCTGCTAAGTGAATGTCACCATCCTATCTGCCAACAGTAATACGTTCGAATTTGACTAATCATTGTGGGTTAAAAAGACATAATAATTATTATTATACAATTTCTTTTTCTTTCAGAAAGATTTCGATGCTTAGAAGCTAAATTAAAATCGAACCCAATATCTTTGGAAGAGGTGAGTTTGTTTGATTTACTGCCACGTCGTACTTCTTAGCTGGGCGCTTAGCATTTCTGATGTCCATGAACGATATTGACCACATCCATTATGATTAACTTCAAGGGAAATAAAGAAAACCCATACAGACCAAATATGTGTTTCAAAAGCACGTTGTAATATGAATCACGGGCCTAGAATTTAAATGTGTACATGCTACCTTTAAGGAGCTACATGGTTGGAGATTCTGTTACACACGTACTTTCAAGTAGGTCTCTGAGTCGGTCGCTGGAGGTAGCGCCATCCTTGTCGCAAAGCGCGTGCGCGAAGTGAGGAATGGCTGTGAGTCGGATACCATCTTCGCTAATTACTACGCGTCTAGCACAGATAACACATGTCACCCTACCGTATGTGGGATTGGCAAAAACGGAATGTATGACAAGAGTGTGGAACGGATCGTTAAGATGTGCGTGAGAGAAAACGGTAAGAAAGGGAGAAGAGAATGACAGACAGAATGGCAGAGGAAAGGAAGATGGCGAGGACGGTTTCCGGTTTCTGCCCTGTGAGCTCACCTACGCTAGGGTGTGGCTCACACACGCTAGGGTGAAGCTTAAATAGCCTCTCAAGGCTATCAGCATTGGTAGGAAAAAAAGAGGACAGTAAAATGAGTAAAGCGTAAAAAAGGTTTTTGAGTCCGCACGGTTAAGTACCACCGCCCTACCTATTTCTGCCGTGAAGCAGTAATGCGTTTCGGTTTGAAGGGTGGGGCAGCCGTTGTAACTATACTTGAGACCTTCGAACTTAAATCTCAAGGTGGATGGCGCATTTACGTTATAGATGTCTATGGGCTCCAGTAACCACTTAACACCATGTGGGCTGTGAGCTCATCCATCCAACTAAGCAATAAAAAAAAAGGTGTCAATTGTTTTTAATGTTATATTATTAGAAGATTTTGGAAGAGAGGACAAATGTGCAACAGTGGGATAATTTTATTTTATTTGCCACGATCCCAATTCTACATTTATAACATAATATAATACATGATGTCATTGTTGTTTCAGATGATCCTGATGACCATTTACTCGTGATCCGGGACTCGTGTTGCTTGTTACTGTTATATTGTTATATTGTTACTGTTGAGTTTGTTGAAACAGTTTTCTACATTTATTTATTTACTCACAGATGAAGTTATTCTGTGAAGAACGCCATTAACAGAACTTGAATTAGTCTCTTTCATAATTTAACTAGCTGACCCGGCAGACTTCGTAGTGCCTCAATCGATAAATGAAAGACGTAAACTTTTGTATAAAATAAACTTGAATCAAACAAAAGGAATCCGTCCGACGTGGGACACATCAAAGGAAAAACTAAATTGTTATATTATCTACCTTTTAAACCTGCTCTGGACTTCCACAAATTATTTAAGACCAAAATTAGCCAAATCGGTCCGAGTTTTAGCGAGACTAACGAACAGCAATTCATTTTTATATATATAGATATTCCAAAACATGCGGCCCTAAACTACCTTGGAGCTTACTGGCTGCATTTCGGATCGAACCCCGACGCGCGGTACCGGAGTCACGACCCATTAAGTAACTGCGTCATATTGCAAGTCGTGACTTTGAGTACTTACCGTTTTATCTCGCCGTCACCTGAGATCACGGAACGAATAGGAATAGGAGTAAAACAAATAAAATATATACACCTTTAATAAGTAACTCGGTGGTGCAATAGTTATCAACCCTGACTGTGACGTCAAGGGTCGTGGGCTTAACGTGCGTGAGATGAACATGTTTGTTTACTCCGAGTGTTTATTATCTATTTAAATGTGTTTATATTATTATTAAATGTGTATATCAGCACCTGGTTCTTAAGGTACAGAGAATCCTAACTGGGGGCCAGACGACCGTGTGATTCGCTCCAGTGTGCTTAGTGCGAGTTTTTTAACGTTCTCGATAACGTAAAAGTTAACTCAATTTTGTATGCAGTTAGAACAGCGACCCTAGAGGCAAACGTAGGCAAACTTTCTAACTACATACAAATTTGAGTTAACTTTACGCTATAAAAGCTGTAACTTAGCAAACTGATTATTTATTAAAGTTGCCAAGCTGTTTTAGGGTTGGTGTTCATGACAATCATTTTATTGTTGTTGTATTGTACTTACCATTGTATTTACTGAATCTACACGCGTCACTGGCTCGTCTTAATGCAATACAACAAGTTCTGTTAATGCTGTTTTTTTTAAAAACTTCAATCAAAAAGTTGTATTATTTTTATGTTATATATTGATCGTCCATCGGTTCGTTGCGCATTGAGAACTCGACGAGTCGAGCGAACAGCTAATGTTTTGTTTAAATACTATTATTACTAATGTACTGCTATAGTAGTATAGATATAGTATTGTTATCGATTTTTATAAAGTTGAGTAAAGCGCGCCATTCATGAATCGTGTACTTTAGGATCTCGAGCCGCGCCCGAGCAAGGCAACCGAGCATCACTCTGTTATGTCCTGTATTATTACGAAATTAGTGTCATGCATGTTGAACTCAGTTTTACGAAAGTAGTTTCGATATATGCGAAATTAATTTCGTAAAAAAATTAGTGTCGCGAAATCCACAGTATCGCAGTAACCATGGCGCTTTCAGCATCAAAGCTATAATTTGCTATATTCAATGTAGCTAAAGAAATGATTATATATAAACTTTAAAAAAGACTATCAAGAAAAAAAGTGTGTGTGTCCGCTCCGACGCACGACTGGAGTTTACTGGATATAAATATAAATTTGTGTCAGTTGAATACAGTAAAATATGCATTTATTAAAAAAGCTTTATTAATAAATGATTTGTAGCGGGTTATATTCGGGTATCAACCCACTAACAGTTGATACGTTCAGGAATCGAACCCGAACGGCGTCCGGCCACAAGCAAAACGATGTCGGTAAATTAAACGAAACAATACGAGAAATAGTTCTATATTACGACAACACGATACACTACAGATTATTAACAAATTAACGAGACACAAAACAAACGACTAACAAATATATGAAAATACAATAATGAGAGAAACGCGCGATCAGTACGAGGCTTTGTGGCGGACTGCCGGCGCAGCAGCCCGGCGTCACCTGCGATAACGCGGCCGCGCGTTGGCTCCTGATTGGCGCGCGCACGCATCACCATGGCCAATCAGGCGCATAACGCATTTCGTGTGACATGCTATACTCTCTAGTACGATTTTGGTCCCCATAATTTTCATACCCCGGGCCTATATATGTAAATCGATTCTTAAGGAGTAAACTCCAAAAAAGGCGTTGGTAGATTCGAGGATGGTCAACAAGAAGGAATTTAGGTGCAATGAAGTTAGTCTCTGAATTAGCAGATGAAGATCCTGAGAGTTATAAAAACTATTTTCGAATGAGTGAAGATAATTTTATTTTTTTACTGTAGGTGTTCGGGTCCCAGAGTCACACTTGTCGCTGATATGAAAGCGCAGCCGCTTTTGCGACACTAGTTCACGTCACGTTTACACTATGAAATTAGTTGCATGACACTAATTTCACCAAGAAATCGCGCAGGGCTCGAAACTAATTTGCATGCATGAAATTAATGCATGCATTACGAAAGTATTAAATTACACGTGAAACTGCTAATGTCACGAAATTAATTTCATGCCACTAATTTCGTAATGTAAATTCGCCTTAAGTAATTTGATGTACTGCAATAAAATAGACTACGTCCGTGTTCGAGCTGCAAATCCCTGAATGGCCCGCTTTACGCGCGTCAACCAAAGAATGTTATAATCGCACTTAATTAAGATTTATTAACATATCGTTTCATTTTATCAAAACTATATTATTATGTATCACGTTATAGTTAATTGAGAGCACCTTTACTAGCGATAGAAACTCGATACGTAAAATCAAGTGAAAATAAAAACAATGTTTATTTTTATAGAATCATTTGAGATGATTTTGTAATTATTACATTTGCGCAATTGCCTTTTTACTACCCACAAGTTGGAGCTGAATGTTCATTCCTGTCTGGTGCCGTGCGTTCTAACACACTCCTTCTTAGAGACTAGTTTTTTCTAAATGATTAGTGCGAATCTAAGATATTTGATAAATAGTACAAATAATTTATAATATACAGTGTCTAGGTCACCAGAGTGCTTAGTGCGAGTTTCTTAACGTTCTCGATAGCGTAAAAGTTAACCCAAATTAGTATGCAGTTGGAACAGCGCCCCTAGCGGCAAACGTACGCAATCGATCCCATTCCATACAAATATGAGCTAACTTTTACGCTATCGAGAACGTTAAAAAACTCGCACTAAGCACACTGCACTTATATATAAGCCTTAACTCAGATCCGTTGCCTAGCAACTAATTGTAAACAGATATCACTGCTCTATAATACCCCGATGTTTATCTTCGTAATTTGTACAAAAATCTAATGCTGCACAGGAAGTGAGACCGTCCGGTATTATTCGGACTTTAAGGTGTAGTTCCAGACCCATTTTTCAAGGCGCTTTGTTCATAAAAGCTCAAAACTTAAGTTATTTTTGAATAATTTAAGCTACTTTTACGGCTTAATCTCTTTTATTATCATAATATTATTTTTGTCTCCGACACTCTGTACTTAGTTACGTTACCGTGGTCGCGACTCGAGTGGTTTTTTTTTTTTTTTTTTTTTTTTTTTTTTTTTTTTTTTTTTTTTTTTTTTTTTTTTTTTTTTTTTTTTTTTTTTTTTTTTTTTTTTTTTTTTTTTTTTTTTTTTTTTTTTTTTTTTTTTTTTTTTTTTTTTTTTTTTTTTTTNTCGGCAGATGTACCACGAACACAGAAACAACAAAAGGAAACAAAACAAATAAAAACTTCCAGAAAGAGCACTTAGTCGGCAGATGTACCACAAACACAGGCCGCGCGAACAATGGCCGGGCTAACAAAAGCCGGGCGAACAAAGACCGGGCGATCGAGTGGACGATGAGCACGTCCGCACGTGACGGGTGCCTCTATCGGAATGACTCGAGTGGTCTGCGACCGTAAGCCGTGAAACTAGATTCAATTATGTGTACAACTCGTGGAAACCGAAGGTTATATTAATTTTTAATACTTCTATAATAATTATATAGATCGGTTAGTTGCTACGCGACGTACCTTCCATAACACGGATTGGCCCCCAAAAACAGTCGTCGGCATGTCTGTAAGCAGGTTTTATTTATTCGTGTAAATATTAATCTTGTCCCGTACGAATTAAGGCTTATAATGATTTGTTGCAACTATCCTTTAACTTGAGAAAGTTTACCGGTGCATTGTGTTTGTGCAGAATTTAAATATTCCAATTTTCAATACCATTGACAATAATAGTTTTATAATCAGTTACAGAAGAAAATGTTCTGTGGACCACGGCTTAGCTGTCGGCTTGAGCACGATGCACTGGGCAGTTGGTGAATTGGTGCTAAGATATCTATCTAACTGAACTTAGTCAATATTTGCAGTAAGGTTTAGGAAAAAGAAACTACCCCATTTATAATATGAAATATGAATATATTTATTTTAAATTAACTTATTGTCTATGAAATTTTATTTTACTTTTTAATAATGGTTAAGCAATTACAAGAAAAGTAAACTTAACTTTAGATAAATTAAACAATAATATTTTAAATTTAATAAAAATGAATTGAATACCGAAATTTGTTTTTTTTTTTAAGAATAAAATAATACAGACTTATAATAGTACAAAGCTAATCAATCATATTATGTATTTGTTCTCCAACGGTACGGATCCCGTGGCCTCGTATGATCTGTCACCTGTCAAAACTTTTTAAGCTTCGGATTTCGGACAATTTAGGATAGGAGTCTGGTGTACCTACCTAAATAATACATCACTTGACATTGGCGAAATCTAAAAGGAAACGCCATAAACCTAAGAGATAGATAGATAAATAATACATTCAATTTTAATTTATTTACAATATACGGTATTGTAGACATTAAAGGAGACGGTTGTATTCTTGGAGTGAATCATGATTTTCACTGTGGTATGCACTACAAATATCGCCTCTATTGAAATAGCGGGTTCCCAGTCGCAGACAATTGAAGACATGAGTGAATGAAGGGATTAAGTACCATTTTTAACATTTTCTAGTTTTTACATTGAATAATGGTGTTATGTGCATAAAAACCATATTAGACCTTGAAAATCCGGGTTTAAAGGCTATTTTTAGAAAATGCACGTGATCAAGGAGTTATGTACGAAGAAAAAGTACCAACAAGTAACCAAAAATTGTTGCCCGTTTTTCTCAAAATTAACAAATTGTATCATATATCCCCTTCATCCACTCATGGCTTCAATTATTAGTGAACTCATGAAAATACGAATAAATAACAACTATACAATTTATAAATTGACTGTTTGTTCGTAATTAATAAGTTTGCAAGGATTATCCGCTTGAGTTGATACTTTGTTCTCTAGTTAGGATTAGAACTTTCATCAGAAGATTTTGAAAATCTATACTTAAATGATGTACTTTTTTTTATTATTGCCCTTGTAGGCAGACGAGCATACGGCCCACCTGATGGTGAGTGGTTACCGTCGCCAATGGAGTTCAGCAATGCCAGGGGCAGAGCCAAGCCGCTGCCTACAAAAACTGTACTGTAAGTATACCTCTCAATAAATGACGCTTTCACTTACCCATGTGTCACTTACATGAACTGAATGCACACAGGACGATTAAAGCAGCTAGCATTTTGGCGACTTGCGATGTAATATGGGGAGACGACTATAATTCATTAATATTTTGATATTAAAGCAATCAATCAAGCAACTGATCTTGCCAAAATTACGTCGCGTTGTCTCTCGCGTGTTCTCAAGTACAGTTAGGCACAAACGCGATCGAAAAAAAATTAATTGTAAATAGACATGCTTTAATAAAAACTGACTTCAAATAGAAAAAAAAAGATATTTCAGAACAAATTAATATACACTAAAAACAATAATCATTGAAATCGGTTGGCGTGATATTGAGCTATTGAGTTATTCATCTATATGTCGCACGTACTTAATGCAAATTTAACACTGTATGGTTTTCTCATGGATACCATTATCAGAACTGGACTAAATTGGGACCACACGGAAAGTGTCTAAGTGAAAGCTTTCTAATAAAAAAAGAATCATCAAAATCGATTCACCCAGTCAAAAGTTATGAGGTAACAAACATAAAAAACATACAGTAGAATTGAGAACCTCCTCCTTTTTTGAAGTCGGTTAAAAAACATAATGCAGTTTTAATTATTAGCTGTCTCTACTTTAGATTTTATTTTCGATTATAAGCTACTCTATGCTAGTTTATAATATTACAAGATACTCTAATTTAGATGATAAGCTATTGATTGCTTACACCACTAGCTCTCAGTAGCGTATCGTTTGGGCTCCTTCTCCAAACACTTTTTCTGTTCATCTCTTATAACTTCCGATAATATCTGGGATGCCGTGCTCATGTCTTCCAGTCGGATCTTGCTAAACGTCAGTCTGATGTACTGGCACGACGCGTTGCTGTCGTATATGAACGCTTGTCCTGGAACCAGCATCAGACCTCGTTCGAAGGCTGTGTGGATCTGAAACAGTCCATAGATTTTGTTCTAGTAAACGGAGCTAGTAAACTAAATCGTTTCTTAGGATTAACCAGCATGCCACTATGCTGTCTCGTGAAGAATAATATCGTTGTGTCCACACCAGCCAGTTATTCCATTTTTAAGGAGAGATTCGCGGTAGTTCTTTCGCTACTGGCGAACTGCCGTCGTCGTGGCCTAAAAGATAAGACGTCTGGTGCATTCGTATGTAGCGATGCACCGGTGTTCGAATCCCGCAGGCGGGTACCAATTTTTCTAATGAAATACGTAATTAACAAATGTTCACCATTGACTTCCTCGGTGAAGGAATGACATCGTGTAATAAAAATGAAACCCACAAAATTATAATTTGCATAATTACTGGTGGTAGGACCTTTTGTGAGTCCCCGCGGGTGGGTATCACCACCCTGCCTATTTCTGCCGTGAAGCAGTAATGCGTTTCGGTTTGAAGGGTGGTGCAGCCGTTGCAACTATACTTGAGACCTTTATCTCAAGATGGGTGGCGCATTTACGTTGTGGATGTCTATGGGCTCCAGTAACCACTTAACACCAGGTGGGCTGTGAGCTCGTCCACCCATCTAAGCAATAAAAAAAAAAAACAAAAAAGAATCGCAATAGTTATGAAACTTACCATACTATAAACGTCGTCGACATCTCGAACCCTCAGCCAGAAGAATAGTCCAGCGTCAGGAACGGCCCAGTCCGCCAGCCCCTCCAGCGGCTGCAGCGCTGAATGAAGCGCGTCCCGTCTGCTCCAGTACAAGTCCCGCGCAGACTTCAGATATGAACCTAACGTCTCCCTACACTGAACCAGCTTCAGTAGAATCGCCTGGGACAGGGTACATGGGTGGAGTAGCTCTGCTTGAGAGTGCAACTGCAGTCTTTCCAATAGCGGAGATGGAGCGGTTACCCATCCTCCCCGGAGACCAGCGCTCACGACCTTGGAGACTGAATCCAGGCGGATCACACGACCGGCTTTGTCCATTGATAGGAAAGAAGCTATTGGACGCTGAAAGTCGATTTATGAGTTCATTGTAAGGTTTTTTCGTTGTAGATACAGCATCAAGCACTACTGTAGTTATGTGGTGAGAAGTGGTTTCTGGAAACCATAGGCTCCATAAGGATATTCCCACAACAAACTATCTGATATGACGTTGAAGACTCAAGTGTATTGTACAGCGCCTGTCTCACCCTTCAAACCCTAACGTATGTCTGCTTCGCTGCGAAAATATCAAGCTGTGCGCTTCACAATATGTCCAACCAGTAAATGCTGGTTGATGATGGCACTTCGCCGGTATAGTACTCCGAGAAGATTGCTGTCCATTCTTGTACGACCATAACTTATTACAGCCCTAACCAAATTTTAAGAAATTAGTTCCCTTTCTTAATTTTTCCTTTCCTAGTATGCCGCCATCCACCTTAAGATATGAGTTCTAAGGTCTTAGTATAGTTACAACGGCTGCCCCCAACCTTCAAACCGAAACTTCACGGCAGAAATTAGCAGGGTGGTGATACTTACCCATGCGAACTCATAAGAGGTCCTACCATCAGTGTAATGGTATTTTGGAGAAATATTGCCTGTGTACTTATAATATACGACGCACGGGGGGCATGCGTCCATTCCGTAATAATAAAGAAAATAAACTCACCCCGCTGTAATTCAAGAACATATAAGGATCATCTTCAACAATAATAAAGTCGTATTTGCAAGCTAACGCATATATTTTCATTCTCCTTTCCACCGGGATGACAGTTCCGGTAGGATTGCTGCCTGTTGGAATGAGGTACATCATCTTCGGCATCTTTAGACCCCTCGAGAGTCGGTCTTCCAAAATGCATTCAAGTGTTTCAGGGATGAGACCGTCATTGTCTTCGGGTACACCAAGGATTTCTGGTTGGTATGGCTTCAACTGAAAGTTGTGAACTCTAATAAGCAGGCGGCTTGTATTGATAGAGCCCTGTCTGAACCATTGTCGTATGTAATATAATTGGATATGGATTCACATTGAGATTCATCTGCTAATCCATCAATATGGAGTTACTCATATGTGCTCATATTTTCTACTTTGAAATGTACCCTGATGTTATAATCCAAGGCATTGGCATCGAGTTATCGAGTCAATAAGTTATAATCTGAGCAACTGTGATATTTATTCTTAGACAAGAAGCAGAATTATAACCCGATATTTAGAGTTTATTTAAAACCGAGTCACCCCCACCCCCGCGAGTCACGAGGCAGCCAGCATGTTGCTAATAAATCATATTCCGGTTGATACTTTTGATTAAAAGATTCGTTTTCCAATATGTTTGGTTTACACACTTACAATTTTTTTCCTATCAACTGGGTGGGTACAGGACTTAGGACTCTAGATCGCCATCGAAACAAGAACGGTCAAAGCGCAGGTTCTAAATAGGGGAAAGAACTTAAGAATTTTCTAGAAATTTTACTGAGAGTATTAGTAATTACTGTAATTAGTAGTAATTACCGAGAGCATAAGTAACTAGTAGTAATTCTAGCTTGTCTGCACTCCCGCGTTTTCTTGTTATGTCTAAATGTATGTATGTATATATGTAATTTATTTATTCATAAAAAGTTACACTTTCATTTAAACCATGTCCCGCAAAACTGCTTACGCAGTTTGACTGCAGGTAACACGCTTTATATAAACAGAGCTTATAAATTATTAAATTAGGTTATATTAATACAATTAATTTACGTAAATGGTTACAACGTATTTAACAAGTGTTTTTTTAATAAACTTTTAAATTTAGCAAGTGTAGGCTCACGTCTTATGTCCTCAGGTAAACTGTTGAATAAGTATGGAACTCATTTTTTTAACGTTCTGTCTCCATACCTAGGCGGCACTGAAAATTTCGGGAATTAACGAAGTGACACAACATTACTATTTAAAAATGTATTTATTGCTTTTCGAAGTATTCTCCGCGAAATTTGTCACATTTTTCCATACGATGGAACCAATCATTGAAGCAACCATTCCATTCGGAAGTTGGGGTCTCCAAAATGGCCGTTTTGTAGGCGTCCACAGCATCTTCAGGTGATGAAAATCTCTGTCCACGCAATTTATTCTTTATTTTAGGGAAAGTATAGAAATCATTAGGGCTTAGGTCGGGGCTGTACGGCGGATGGTCTAACAATTCTATGTTTTCTTGCTCTAAAAACTCTTTTGTTCTGTGCGCGATGTGAGAACTCGCATTGTCGTGATGGAGGATGATGCGGCGGTTGCAGTTCTCTTTACGGAGTCCAGAAACGACCAGTGGCAAACAAATGCTAGCATACCATTCTGCATTAACCGTTCTTTGTCCCTCAAGAGGAATAGTCGTAACATGGCCGGTTTTGGAGACAAACGTGGCCACCATTTTTTTTGCAACACTCCGTGAACGAACAATTTTTGTTGGCTTTAACTCATTTTCGAACACCCAAACTCGTGACTGGTTTTTTGTTTCGGGTTCGTACGCGTATATCCAGGATTCGTCACCTGATACAATGTTGTATACAGCATTTGAGGATCCTGCGTGGAATCTTTCGAGAGTTCTGACGCACCAAGTAACGCGAGCCGCTTTTTGCTCTTCACAGAGCGAATGCGGTATCCATCGGGAAAACAACTTTTTTACACCTAATTGTTCATGCAAGATTATTTGTATTTGACTCATGCCAATGTCTAAAGTTGCCTGAATTTCGCGGTATGTCACATGTCGATCTTCCTCAATCAGCTTACGCACAGCATCAACGTTTTCTTGGGTGACTGCAGTTTTTGGACGACCTTGACGGGGATCATCACTGAGCTTGACACGTCCACGTTGAAACTCAGCAAACCAGCGATAAATTGTGGTTTTGGATGGGGCTTCATCACCAAATGCAGAAATCATCCGGTCAACACACTGTTTTTGTGTTAAACCACTTCGAAAGTCATAATAAATCATCGCTCTTGAATTTTCTCGAGTCAATTCCATTTTCTCAACGACTAAACAAGTTTGACAAAACCTCGTGACAAGACCGAGAATCTTTTTTTAAATAAATAAATGGTATTCGATTTTTAAAACCAAGGAGTTTTCAATTAAAAAGATTTTAATATGACAGGAACAGTGGAAATATTCCATTCCCGATACTTTTAGTGCAGCCCTCATAGTCATTTTGTACCATGGGTATTTCAAATTTACCTTTGGACCTTTTTGACCTTGTGCCAGTTTTATGTTGCACCAAATCAGTTGAACGATCCTGTTTACTACAATTGTTTACAAGCAGAAGATATTTATGTTTCCGGATAGTCGGTAAAATTTTACATATTTTATATAGTTTATAGTAATCTCCTTTACATTGATGTAGAATGTAGAATGATTACACTCACGGTGCTGTGCAGACCAGTGTAGGCGTACTCAGTGGTGACGATGGGGTCGCCGGGCTCCAGGAGTAGCTCAGCGCACTGGTAGATGCCGTGCTGCCCGCCGTTGGTGATCATGAGGTCTCGGGGCACGTCTGGAGGACGGTGTATGTCCTCTTGAAATTTGCGAAGCTCCGTCAGTAGCGATGGAAGCCTGATAACCATAAAGTAAAATGATTCGTATGAATGAGTCTATCAATAATATGATAAAATCGAGTAGGTAATAGTAAGTTTTGTTTTTTATTTATTGCATAGATGAGTGGACGAGATCACAGCCCACTTGGTGTTGAGTGGTTACTGGAGCCCATAAATATCTACAACGTAAATGCGCCACCCACCTTGAGATATAAGTTCTAAGGTCTCAACTATAGTTACAACGGCTGCCCTACCCTTCAAACCGAAACGCATTACTGCTTCACATAAAATAGTCGGGGTGGTGGTACCTACCCGCACGGACTTACGAGTGGCCCTACCACCAGTAAGTCAAAATCTTTTAATTTTTTTTGTAAACGAGTCTGTGATGCGAATTTAAAAATTTTGATTTCCTGATTGTCCGTGCACATACCCCTGTGAAGGCACATACTGCAACGCCGCAGCCAGCTCTTTGCCCTCCATCATTATACCACCGCCCTTTTTCATGTCCATGCTTAGTTTCTTGAACGGAAACACCCCTTCGTTGGGCATACCCTCGGCTAGGGAGATCATCTTTTTATCTACTTTATATGCGAGGGAAGCTGGAATTGTACAATGAATGATCGTTACGTTTTATTGACGTCAGAGGATCTTCTGTGATCGTATCCGCCATCCACTTAAGCTAGCTGGGAAAGGAGTAAGAGCCAAACAAAAGAATTATTACTATTAAATAAATAATAGTTTAAAAAAACTAACAAAATACGCTTTTAAAGAAAATCCAACTTTTCAATATATTTTTTTAATATTGAATTGTCACCGGTCCTTAATAAATACCAAATTTCGAGTTAATCCGACGATTTGAAGAGGGTCAAAATCATGTTCAAGGATTCCGTTACATACATACGTCTGAAGCTATTAAAAGCGTATTAATAAGCAAATAACCCGCATTGTGAAATATTTTAAGTGCTCTAGTAAGAGCAGTGCTTCGCAGAATCTACCACCGGATCGGAATCGCGATCCACTGAGAAGATCCACCGTGGCGACATTTTCGTTCCGTTCGCGGCGCCCCACGCCGAGCGCACGCGCACCGCGCTCCGCCCCCACCTGGCGACATACTGTAGGATCCCGTATTAACCATTTAATACCTGGTGGGGCGTGAGCACATCTGGTCATCTCGAGTTAAGATACACAACTATAATGAAGGCATGATCTACTTCATTACAGTAATTTATATGTAAAGAAAAACCTTTATCACCAACATTTAAAACTCTTTGTTTCAAAAAAAGATTTTTCTTAGACGGAATCACTCACCTGTCGGTCATTCAGTGAAAAGAGAAATCAGTTTTGTATAGTTTAATAATACTGTTTGAAATATTAATTTAAAAGAGATTAAGAGCTTTAAATGTTGTTTTCTTATTATATCACAGAAAACGCTATCTAGTATTTTATTTTTTATTCATTGTGAAGTATTCCGTATTATTATGTATATTTTATAAATTATAGTTTGAAACAAAATCAACTGGTACTTGTTCTCCGCGCGCGTTGCATCCTTCGAGTTTGTATGGGGTCGTGGGTACGTCCGACATCGCGCCCCGCTAACTCCAACGACACACATTGCCAGTGTCAATAAGCCGATTACGTTGGCAGCACTTTATTTTGATAGAACGCAATAATATTTACTAAGCTTACACGTGATAGCGCTGTACTACGAGCATTCTAAATAAATCTACAAATATTATATAAATGACAGATGATTACAAGTGACAAATGATAATTCTTATGTTAATATTTAGCTAATCGTTGCGATAACATTGCTTTACATAGATAGTGAAGGTTATGTGATAAGAGCAGTTTCGCTGGTCACGGTCGACATGGCAAAGTCAAGTTTAGCACAAACATTTACTGATCAGCCCTTAGTGGCGACGCGACGCACGCGATGTCGCACTTGAGGTAACTTCATCCACAAGAACTGCATGTGTTGACGAGTTCACAGCCAACCAATCCTATAAATATTGTGTGTGTTTTTGATTCCGCCGTCGTGGAAGTATTGCATAAACACGTGTTAAGTGTGGACTTCCGTGGGACTTACCTATTTGGGTACAGACTCTCACATGAACCTATGGACATCATTATGCAGCAAAATCACGTCAAATCAAAGTAGTAACTGTAGTAAAAATGCGATTGTTTCGCTCGACAATTCGGGATGCATTACCGGGTAGTCGAATGTTCTTGTGACATTGAGCTTCCTCGACCTCGCGGACCTGTGACGTAGGGCGTGGTACTTACTGATCACTCTTGTGATAGCTGGTTCTCTCCTTGAAGACCTGGTGCTTATAAATCGACCATAGTCTTCGACATCCAACACTTTATGGTCACCCACGTTAATATTCTCATCGTAAAACTTAAAGAACTCCGGCGTACAAGCTTGTGAATATTTTGCTCTCAACACAACACAAGGTTTTATTTCGAAGACTTTTTTCATTAAATCCAAATTATTCTTTGTCAATTTCATGTTTAATTTTTAAATATTTTAGTGATAACGTAACGTACTGTATTCGCCAATGTTAATGTCGTAATGAAAAATCTCTGAAGAGATACGTAATGTAATTAATAAGATAACATAATACCTTTTTTTTTAAGGTAATTAACATTGAAGGCGTGTCGCTGTGTTTACTCGTGATATCTTTGAAGAATTTTCGCAAGGAATTTTCTTGTTTTTAAGATACGTTTATCATTATACTTCTCGTTACCGGAGTAGACAGAGAACACTAAATGTAGATCAGTCTCTTGAGACTTGACTTGCATTCCGCCCCCTGTGAAGGGAATGGCGACAACACCCACCACTGATCAAATTAAGAGGAATTAGAAACGCAGGACACATCATTTTAAAATAACAAGAGTATGCATGCGTGTGTGTGTGTGTCAAATACATGGTAGTGTGTGTAATGTTTTCTTTATTGATTTAATGTATCTTTTATGCATTATTTTTAAAAAATATTAGCATTGTGCACTTCTTCTCTATATTCTCTATAAGTGTGGAAAATTTCAAACTCCTCCGTCCATATTATAAAAGGATACAAAGTTTTTGCTTCACGTATTAATATATAGATAAATTAAGAGAGTTGAAGGTATGTAAGTAACAACTGGAGGTTGCGAGGAAAGAACAGCCGGGTTATTACGAGAAGAAAATCCCCTGAACCCCTTTTTTTTATTCCTTATATGGGTGGACGAGCTCAGAACCCACCTGGTGTTAAGTGGTTACAGATGCCCATGGACATCTACAACGTAAATGCGCCACACACCTTGATATATAAGTTCTATATGTCTCAGTATAATTATAACGGCTACCCCGCCCTTCAAACCGAAACGCATTACTACTTCACAGCAGAACCAGGCAGGGCGGTGGTACCTACCTTTTTTTTTTTTTTTTTTTTTTTGGTATCGATGGGGAATCCCAGTCTTTACGGATACCCGGCCGACGGGGGTCGGACCGGGTTATGTCGGACTCCGCGCCTCCGGTGAACGAAACAGGAAGAAGTCGCGAACCAAGGTCCGCGCCCTCGACCAATTAGTCCACGGAGACTACGCCTTGAAAAAGGCGCGCTGGGCTAAGTTCAGCTCGCGCCGAACCCGCCCAGCTTAACGACTACCGACTAAAACCCAACGAGCTCCTTCCTTTCCGGCATAGGGGGAACCCACGATACCGCAGGGAAACGCGCCCCGCAGGCCCCCCACACCGGCTCCCAGCCTGACGAACNGGTTACCGTTGCCCATGGACTTCAGCAATGCCAGGGGCAGAGCCAAGCCGCTGCCTACCGCTTAATACTCTCCACAAGCCTCGTTTGAAGAAGGACATGTCATAGCGCTCGGGAAACACCGTGGAGGGGAGCTCATTCCATAGCCGGATGGTACGTGGCAAAAAAGATCTCTGGAAACGCACTGTGGATGACCGCAGTGTCTCCAGGTAGTACGGATGAACTCTACTCCGGTGGCGGGCGGTGCGATGGTAAAAACGAGATGCCGGTATCATCTCGAACAATTCCTCAGAGCAATTCTTTTGCTCTTTTGCTAATTGAATGAAAGTTATCGAATTATGAACGCAGCCGGCGCGTCCCTTGTGGGTCGGCTTGACGAGGGATCGTTCCCCCAGCCGCACCAAGCTCCCTCTCTGTCCAAGAATGGAGTAGGGTCGCATGTACCGAAGTCGTCGTGGCCTAAAGGATAAGACGTCCGATGCATTCGTGTTGAGGCGATGCACCGATGTTCGAATCTCAGGCGGGTACCAATTTTTCAAATGAAATACGTACTGCGTTACACGTACATGGTAACAGCTCATAATGAATAATGCCCTTCTCAATCTCACCACACACACACAGCATCACCTTGTTGCGAGTTAACCCGGGTTTCGCCACAGTCTGTGAAGTCTGACCGGCCTTTGACCACGACCTTTTTCGCACGTTCATGTCGTTGGTACGTGATCCACTTTTCATCACCAGTTATCAGCTTCTTCAAAAATGATTCGGTTTCATTACGTCGTAATAAAGAATCACAAATGAGTACTAATAGTATTTTTTTCTGTTTATTAGATGGTTTGATTTACTTTTCCTCATATATTTATTTCTTATATAAGAAATTAATTATTAAAATTGCATTTAATAAGTGCGGGCTGTTTATAGCAATTCTGATATTTTAATTAAATTATAATCCATTATATATTTAAATGACTGACTCGGTGGTGCAGTAGTGTGCGCCGAGGGTCGTGGGTTCGATTCCCGCATCGGGCAAACATTCGTGTGATGGACAGGATTGCTTACTTTTTGTCTGGGCATTAGAAGAAGAAGAAGAAGAAAATGTTTATTCGCCAAAAATATAGTTTACAAGATATTGTGGATATAGGACATAGTATCATATATTTCGCCTGTTTAGGCATGTGAAAATTTAACTTATTTTTATATTAATTCTAACACAAAATTTACTAAATCTATCTATTTTTACATTCTATCACTTCTTATTCTAATATTTTATTATGTACAACAATTATCATTTAAAAATTCTTGCACACTATAATAAGCCTTATCTATTAGCCATAAATATAATTTTCTTTTGAATTGAGTTAGTAGAAGATCTGTTATGCTGTTTGGTATCTTATTAAATATTCTTATAGTCATAGGATAACAGTCTGTATGGTAGTAGCGAGTATTTATATTTGGTAACATGAGTTTAGTAGGGTATCTTGTATTAAATTGACAGTACTCACCATACGATTTATATAATTGTGGGTGCTTTTTAACAAACATTCTTGTATATGACGGCGTTAACGATATTTCTGTTATATAGCACGTACAATAGGAGTGACTCACACAAGCCAGGTGCGCCGGCCGTGTCGTCCCACTCGTAAACAACAGGTGCAACAGAAGTGACTCATAAATAAGCCAGCTGCGCCGGCTAGTATAAAAAGGCGGTACGTGCCTCGCAATGGACTCTACCCGATGATATGCAGGCGAAGTAAAATGCGCCTTAGAAATAAGGTGACACTCTACAAAACTTGCATACGCCCCGTCATGACCTATGCAAGTGTAGTGTTCGCTCACGCGGCCCGCACTCACTTAAAATCCTTCCAAATTATTCAATCCCGTTTTTGCAGGATAGCCGTCGGAGCCCCGTGGTTCGTCAGGAACGTCGACCTCCATGACGACCTGGACTTAGAGTCCATCAGTAAGTNACGGAGGCTGCGGTGCTCGATGCAGAAGCTTTGCACGCAGGTACAGGCGACGCAGGAGCAGTGAGCTCGGTGGAGTCCACGAGAGGGCTCGCAGTGTGATCGGCCTTGAAGGCCTGAAACTCGGAAGTGAGCTTTGGGTAGCGAAGCCGGAGAAATTCCGCAAATACAGCGTCCATGATGTCTACGTGCCCAGGTGGGGCTAGCTTGTATTCCCTGCAACACCGAGTTGTTCATGAATCGTTGAAAGGTTTGGGCTGCATTTCTAAGACCAAAACTCATTTGCGGTAATTCATATAGACCGAACGGCGTGATAATTGCCGTCTTCTCTATGTCGTCGGGGTTTACAGGAATGTTGTGATAAGCTCTGCAGACGTCCAATCTAGAGAAAATAGTTTTATTAGGTAAGACATATGTAAAGTCTTGTATCCTTGGGATAGGATACAAATAAGTTTTTTTATTTTTTTATTGCTTAGATGGTTGGACGAGCTCACAGCCCACCTGGTGTTAAGTGGTTACTGGAGCCCATACACATCTACAACGTAAATGCGCCACCCACCTCGAGATATAAGTTCTAAGGTCTCAGTATAGTTACAACGGCTACCCCACCCTTCGAACCGAAACGCATTACTGCTTCACGGCGGAAATAGGCGGGGTGGTGGTACCTACCCGTGCGGACTCACAAGGGGTCCTACCACCAGTGATTACGCAAATTATAATTTTGCGGGTTTAGTTTTTATTACACGATGTTATTCCTTCACCGTGGAAGTCAATCTTGAACATTTGTTGAGTACGTATTTCATTAGAAAAATTGGTACCCGCCTGCGGGATTCGAACACCGGTGCATCGCTTCAACACGAATGCACCGGACGTCTTATCCTTTAGGCCACGACGACTTTTTAAAAAATGGCGTTCAAGGCTCTATAGTCGCCACAAGGTCTTTATTGGCCGTCTTTTTTAGGCACAACATGCAAGGGACTAGACCATGCTCCATTAGATGGACGACATATGCCCATTTCCTGCATGAGTGTGAACTCAGCCTTAACTTTCTTATATTTGGGGGTTGGTGCTTCCCGCTTCCGTAGGTTTAACCCGCGTTTCCCTACAAGTGACCCCTGGGTGGTGATAACGGGAGCCAAAAACAAAACCGGTGGTAGGACTTAGTCCGACTGGCTGGCGACCACCCTCCAACTAGAGTCCGCCGCCAAACAGCCTAGCTGTGTTCCGGCTTGTGGGTTGGAGAGCCAGTTCTATTCCTTCCCTTTCCCCTTCCTTGTTGGGGGTGAGTCATTGTGATGCCTGGAACATGCGGAATAGAAGTGTGTGCGAGCTCGCGGGACGTGACTGGTTGACGGGGGTATAGGGAGACCCAGTGAAACGGTATTCGCCGCCGCCCGCCGGTCAGTAGGGGACCTGAACCCGGATGTCAAACTAAACTCCGCCCCGGGAAGCTGTCCCGCCAACCGGTGTAAAATCCTGTCGTGCGGTCGCCGTGCCGGAGTCGGAGACCGGAGTGGATCGCGGCAATCGTACGCAGGGTGGACTGGGGGCCCTTCCATACCCTGCGTCAGTCTCTCACGCAACCCGTGGTTGAACATACACTGTGTTCCGCGCTTTATTCAGGTATTGCTTTGATTTCGCCCCGAACGTCCTACCTCTCCTAATCCCACTCCCCCAACAAAATTAAAGTTATGACAGTACGAAAAAGAGAGAATGCCTATGGCATTAAGTCCGCCTTTATACTTTATAGTATAAGAAGCTATAAATAAATAAATAAATAAATTAAAAGAAAA